CTGAATAGTTTCTCTAGTGTGAGAAACTGAAAGTGTAAATAAGGATTAAAATGATTAAAATGAATAATTGATAACTTGAAATAGGAAGAAAAGGTCCAAAGGGGTAGGGATGGCAGGAGGGGAAAGGGAAAGGAAAGTAGGGAAAGGAAAAATTATGAGACAAGAAAAAAAATGGAAACAAAGTCTATGTAAATTGGGAAGGGTGGAGAGGGTGAAGGGCATACAGCTAGTGGGGAAAAACAAAGAACCAAGATACATCATGTACAAGTACAAGCACCCAATGATAAATGTAAACGTATTGTATACCTAAAATGTACCAATAAAAGAATTTAAGGAAAAAAATTATTGCTGTTGAGTACACACATAGATAATAATTAAAGTCCTAACGTGTATTATAATTTCCCTAAGGAAGTTTTGGGATGCAAATGAAATCACTGCGACCATTTAGTTTTCTATACTGAAAATAAAGTTTATGGCAGGGAGCAAACACTTAGATTTCTACAGAAGGCTGAGAAATGATGACTATGAAATGACAACAATGATGAGGATGATGACGATGATGATAGCTAATACTTAATCCTTAGTATATGTTTAGTGTGATTCCATGGGGTTTATACCTATGAATTAAATTAATCTGTTCAACATCTCTATGTAAGTTATCTCTGTCTTAAGAGAATGAAGCAAAAGCATAAAGGCATTTTAAAATCTATCCACACTCAGCTAATGAGGGGTGAAGCTGGTACAGTAATTGAACCTGATGGTGTAACTCTACTAGGTACCTTGGAGTCTGACCCTCAGCTCAGATCCTGAGGGGTTGCAATGGAGCAATCAAATTATCAGATTTTTAGAAATGGATCTATGTCTTATAGATGTCAAAAACTACACCTGAAACAATTATCTAGACAAAATTAGACCCACATTCAAATATGGAATTAAACAAAAATTGTGTGTTGAGGTGGGGTAAGTGGCTGAAATGACTGGCTTTGTTTTGTTTGTTGTTTTGTTTCTCTTTCTTTCTTTCAATCAGGATTAGCAGGGCCTAAACCCAGGGCCTTGCTCATGCTAGGCAAGGTCTCTCTAACCCAGCCCTTTTTATTTTTTTGAGATAGGGTCTCACTAAATTGCCCCAGAATGGCCTTAAATTTTCACCCTCCTGCCTCAGCTCCCAAATAGCTGGGATTACAGGCTTAAACCTCTGGACCTGACTTCAGCTTAGGTTTTTATCATCCATTGCTAGAGGATGCTGCCCTAGAAGGGCACATTTCCCTAAGAACTGCTGTCTCTGTGACTACATATAGAGGACCGTATTTTCACTTTGTGTTACGATTCTTTCATTGGAAAGGCAAGTTTGACTCTTATCTAAATGAGTGTAATAGTCACCGAAGAATAGCACTATAGCAGTGCAGAATATAGGAGCCAGGATACATAGTAGAAATATGAATTTCTACTGCATACCTCAGGTGCTGCTTCCTAAAGCAAGTAGTCTATATAACATAGTAATTAATAGCATGGGATGTGTTAGGTACAACTGGCTTCAAATACTAGCCCCCAACTTATTAGCTCCAAAACCTTAGGTAAGTCACTTAACCTCCCTGAACCTCAGTTTTCTCATCTTTAAGATGGAGATAACACACACCTGCCTACCCCCACAGAGTTCTTGAGAGGACCAAATGAGAATTTGTTGCTGGTGTAAACAATGATCAGACATAGGAAGTACCATATAATTGTTAGTTGCTGTTATTTTCAACATCATCTTCTTCAACACATTCATCATAATTAGCCAACATCTGCTCTCTTGTCAGCATCTAAAATGATTTCTGATGTGGCTATCATTCTTGCTTTTTGTTTTTACCTATAGACAGTGAGATGTTGAGATGTAAAACAAAGTGTCCCATCACACTACTACATTTTCCATCTGAAACACCTTGTAGATTTGAACCAATGAAGAAAGGAAAGACAAGATGATCGAGAGGAAAGCCCATTCACAGAGCATCCTTGTGGCCAAAATTCTTGCAATAAATGCAAAGCACACAAGATGGAATGTCCCCTTATGTCACAGCTGAAAACTGTAACATAAATATTTTTGTCAGTTGGCTTTATTCTACAGATGTTTTTAAGAATTTGTTGTTGAAACAGCCAATCCGCTCCTCAATAAAAAAACTTTTGGCAGTACTCAAAGTGTCAACTAATTAGATCCAAATTGCAGCTGAGTATTTTGAAATATATGCATCACCGACGTGAATACTGAACGAATTTATAACAAATGCAATTTCAATTGCTCTGAAAGAACACACAATGGCAGGAGAGTGAGCTAATTTGTGAGTATTTATTCAACACCTTGTAAAAAGCTCCCCTGGAAAGGGTCAGTGTACAGTGGGATGAGTGATGGGTTTTTCAATGCTGTGCTCAGATGAGCCCTCAGCTTGAAAGTCAGGAAACCCTTGCAGGCTCTGCGCATAATCAACTCCATTTCTACTACTAACTTTGTGATGCGTAAACTATTGCTTTCCTTTTTGTGTAAACTGAGCCCCCACCCTGTGGGCCTAATTTCCTCTGCAAACTGTTAAAACTGAATTCAAATTATCTGCAGTATCACCCACTCCCTCTCATTCCCAGAAGCCCTGTGTGATGGTTGATTGATTATGTCAATTTGACAAGTTTGATTAAAAGAAGCTTAGCAACATCGGCTCAGCAAATCCACACCCTAGGGCGTGGAAGTTCTACCCTAGGGCACCGCCCCCATGTTATAAAGGGAAAATGAGGAAGGAAGCTGCTAATTCTGTTCCTTCAGAGGATCTCAGTCTTGCCTTGCACGTCATCTCCTGGCTTCCAGCGCAGACTCTTGGGCTTGCGGCTCCGATCCTTCAGTCTTCCAGCCTAGACTCTTCAGCCTTCCACTGCAGACCTATCAGCTTCCTGATACAGACTTGCAGGGGACACTGAGGTGAGCTCCAGGTCTTCAACTGAATCCTTCTATCCCCAGTGTGCAGACAGATCCTCTGCACTCTTCCTCATCTGACTCTGTGGGTGGCCAATCTTATAAATTCATATATATTTCTATATCTTGTGTTAATCTATTTCTCTAATAAATTCTGACTGATACATCCTGGCTCCCTGTGTGCCCATGAGGCAACTTCACACCTTTGTGCTACCTCCCTGCTCTGAAGATGATGAGTACATGAGGTAGTGATTTCATCTTTTGGGTTCTCACTTTCTGCCTTTGAATGAGATGAATCTTCAGTGATCTACTTCCCAAAGTACATCCTGGTATGTGTTGTAGACAACAGAATTCTAGACTGGTGGTTAATTAAAAATAAAACACCTTGGGCTAGGGGTTTGGCTCAGTGGTTCCGTCGCCTGCCTTGCAAGTGCAGGGTCATGAGTTTGATCCCCGGTACCAATAAATAAATAAATAAATAAATAAATAAATAAATAAATCACCTTAAGCCACCAGGCACAAAGTCTGTCTGCTCATTATGTAAGGAGGAGCTTTATAGCTTTTAGAGCCACCCAGCCATGCATCTGCCTATTCTGTTAGGAGTGAGCACCTCCTCATTGGATTCTCTCAGTCCAAGGCCATTAAGCCACCTACAAGATATTTGAAGAAGAGACTTTGGTATAGACTGATAGGTGTTGTAGTTTCCCAGGCTGCTGTAACAAAGTACCACACACTGGGTGTCTTGAAACAACAAACTTATTGTCACGCAACTCTAGAAGTCCAAAATTAAGGCATTGGCAGGGCCATGCCCCCTCGCCTCTGCCCAGCGTTTGGCTAGCAGCTGTGTCACTCCAATCTCTGCTTCTGTCTTCAATACTCTTCTTCCCTCTATGTGTCTCCAAATCTCTTTACCCTTAGAAACACCCCAATGTTTGGGTTTAGAAGCCATTCCAATTCAGTATGACCTCATCTTAGCTCCTTTGCATCTCCAAAGACCCAATTTCCAAATCAGGTCACAATAGGACTTTGACATATTTGGAGAGGGGGAGAGGGGTAGAGGGAAAAGGGGGACACAATTCAACCCACGACACCAAGTATGACCAGTTGACTGGTAGGATGATCTCATCTACTGTCAAATTCAAGGGGTTTTGCAATTCCTTTTTATCGAAATGGTGTCATAATCTGTCCAAAAATATTAACTAATGCTCTATAACTTTAGCACTCCTTTTTTTTTTTTTTTTTTGAGGTAGGGTCACACCATATATCCCAGGCTGGCCTCAAACTTGTGGCAGTCCTCCTGTATCAGCCTCCCAAGTGCTGGGATTACAGGTATATGCCACCATACCCAGCTTATTCTAGTATTACATTTTAAAACCACAACACTAATTATTTATGTTTCATATTTTAGGAATGATTGAGGAACCCTGGGTCATTGCCTAGAGTCCAAACCTGGAGCACAAGGTCCTTATTACTGTGTCCTGTGTTTCCCATCTAGGCTCCCTGGCCTCTAATTTGCTTTGTATTCAGAAACACAGGTGCAGATATATAATGTGAATGTGAGTTATATGTTGAGTATGAAGCAGGATGAACTTCTAAAAAAATGCTAGCTTTAATGATGAACTAGAGCTCAAAACATGGCCTTATAGAATAAAGAAAAACTGTTCCTTTAGAAAAAGAGACTGTTCCACTGGTAAATCAGAAAATAATTCTAATGGCTTGAACCTACTGTCCTATGTTGATTCATACATCTCTTGATCTAAAACTGTGGTATTTTGGATTCATACACTTTGGTGGTTTGGCTTTGGTGTCTTGTTTTAGTAGGTAGCTTTTATATCTCTTGCTATAATTTATTCTGGGGTAGTGATGACGAACCTTTTAGAACTTTAAATGATAACAAACAGCCTGCTACAACATGCGTGCCATAGGGTCACCACAACTATTGTCTCACAACTAGGTCTCAGCCTCGGCACTATTAATGATTTTGCTGGGTAATGTCAAGTTTTCCTGTGTGCTAGAGGATGATCAGCAATGTGTCTGACTTCTACTCATTAAATGCGAGTAGTCCCTCAACCCCACCTCCACATAAAGTGACAAGAGCAAATATCTACAGATACTGCCAAGAGTTCCTGGGGGATGGCAATATCATCTGAAACTGGGAACCACTCTTGATTTAATAAAAATTGACTTAATTTTTTTAAAAAAACAGTGAAAAGAGTAGCATTATTGCACTGTATCTTTGATGCCTGATTTAATAGGAAACTGTTGGATTTCCACACATCTACTTCTTTCATTTGGCTCAGGTTGTCTTGGTTGAAGTTTATAAAGACAATTCCGTATATTGATATGTAGTAGAAAATGGGGCAGTATTTTAATAGCCTTTTAAAGTTGTTATAGACATTTTTCTTTAAGTTCACCAAGTAGTAATTTCTTAAATGTTGCTTTGTCAAATAAAAATTGTGTCTTTTACTTTGAATAAATCTCTTACCTGTACATTGGTTATCTGGAAAATTCTGGTTTAGTGAGCTTTGTTCTGCCAAAATTTGATACATTTTATTATTTTAATTTTCTTGTGCTGGGGATTGAACCCAGGCCCCACACATCTGAGGCAAATGCTCTACCAAGGAGCTGTACCTCAGGCCTATTATTGTAATACCAAGGACAACCACAGTTGTCAACATCACTCCCGGTCTCATCAGCAAGCTCACAAGTTCTGGGATACTCTCAAACTCACAGCAGGGGATCGTTTTCTAAAGTTCAAATTTTCACTTGGAATCTTGAATTTTATCATTGGCAACAAATATTGCTAGTTGTTTCCCTTGAAATGACAGACTGACTTCTTTGATTTTTGAGAAAACATCTAACAAATACTCAAGTATGAATAACCATAATTTGTCAGTCATTCCTTCAAGTAAACACACACACACACACACACACACACACGCACATGCACACGCACATGCACACACATTTTGTGAAAAATGGCTACTTAGCTTGTATCTCATTCAATTAAACATCTACTTTCCCCCAACCTAACCATTCTACTGCATGCCGCAGTATTTGAGGTGCACGTCCCATTTTACAACACAGAATATTTTAAGGTGTACTTTAAGTGTACTTGAGACTTAATAAGATTATCAAAGACATTCTTAAGTGAAATTTTTCCCCTACTACAGTGCCTGCTAGTATAGTGGCCTGCTGCTCTCTGGGTTGACACTAAACCACAAACACCATTGGTGCAAATACTCCAGTGGAAAAGGCCAATAATGTCAGCATTATTCTAAAAACTAGTTTTGACCTTACAGTCATCCAGTGACCCACAGGCTACAGAGTGAGAATGCTGGTCTACGAAGATCATTCTAGGGCCGGGTATTTAGCTCAGTGGCACTGTGCCTGTCTGGCAAGCGCAAGGTCCTGAGTTTGATCCCTGGTACCAAAAAAAAAAAAAAAAATCGTTCTATTCCACATTATTTGAATAATATAAAGAATACCTTCTGATGGGCTTGCCCATAGAAGGCATACATCATCAAACTAGAATTTAGTAGGTCCCAAGCACTGCAGATAGTATTCCAGGAACATACCTCCTGCTACCACCAAAACTGTTGAAAGATGGGTTTGTTCTCTTTGCCAATAGTCTCAGAGGTTAGAAATGCTTCTAAAGCATTTTAGATTCTATTGATGAAGCTGGCATTTGTGAACTTTTCTTTATCTTTTAAAAAATGATTTCCATATTTAGCCCAGACCTTTCTGAAATAATGAATTTCAAAAGTCTGCATGTCATTACAAATTTCTGAGATATGTACAAACATCACTCTCTTCCTCACAGTAGATTACAATTCCAAGAAATTTGGTAAAAAGCAATGCACTCACTCAATTTCTAACCCAATGCCTTGTTCAAATTAGGAACTCAATAAATATTTATTGACTATAAAATTTCATTGATTTATCCCTTTTATAATCTTTTTTCCCTTTTATGATCTTGATAGTTTTATGGCTTTCAATCCTCATCCATTTAGAATGGAAAGGACTGCTTTGTAGACCCCAAGCATTTGAAGGTGATAGTAAGGCTGTTTATTGAAAAGAGAATAAGGAAATTTCTGTATACTGAAAAGTAAACCTGCTCTTCTCCCCAGGGCCTTTTCATGACACAGCCAAAGTGGCCCAAACCCTAGCTGCCAGTCTGCTACACACATATCTACCATCAGGCAACTGAATGAATAGTCTTCTTTGAGACAGC